TCTTCTGTGATCCCTGGAAACTTCTATGACCATCTTGCTACCAGCCAACAGAGTGGGGCAGTTCTCAGAAAACCATATAGAGAAAAATTGAAATGCTGAAGTACCCTGTCTGGAGTCTTCTCTTTCCATCTCTGGGCTTCCTGATACATGAGATAATAAACTCCCTGACATGTTAAAGATACTTTGATACAATTCACTAGTGAAACCATCAGGTCCTAAAATTTCATTTTTTGGGAGGTTTTTGATGGTTGTTTCAATTCCTCACTGTTAATTGGTCTATTTAGATTTTCCAGTTCTTCATGATTCTGTTTAGGAAGGCTTTATATTTCTAGGAACTTATCCATCTCTTGTAGGTTATTGAATTTGGTGGCATATAGTCCTTCATAATATTCTGATATGATCCTTTGTATATCTGGGATATCTGTGGTGACTTCTCTCAATGAAAGAGAAGTGAATCTTGCCAGGGGTTTGTCAAGTTTACTAACCTTTTCAAAAAATCAGCTCTTTGTTTTATTAATTTTTTATAGTCTTTTTGTTCTTTATTTTATTCAATTCTGCTATAATTGATTATTATTTATTCATTTTTTGTTTATTTTTGTTTAAAATATTATAGATGTCCCTTTTGCTCCCCAATGACCCATTCCACCAGGTCCCACCCCCCCCCCCAGTCCCTCCCCACACCATTGTCTGTGTCCTTGGGTCATGACTATATGTTTCTGATTTTTAAGAGCCAATGTCCTTCTATATTTCCTTAGAACCTTGATTAAAAATTTTTTTTTTTTACATTTAACCTTTTATATTGGAAATTTATTCTAATATGTGTAGTGAGGTAATGTTTTTTTCCCAACTGGTGAAATACTTGTTAAGGATTTCATGCCTTTCCCCACCTTTCTGAAATACTAGCTCTCTCACATATTAAATTCTTGGCTCTGCTCCAGTACTTTTCATTCTGTTCCATTGTTTGGCTTAATTTGTAGCACACATGCTCTTAATTACTCTAACCTTGTGTGACTATTACTGTTTAATACTATAGCATATTAAAGAACTTAAATTTACAAAAATTAAAGCCATGGTGCTGTTCTTGGTTGCAGATGTCTAGAAATGCTAATTTAGAGCTTATTTTTCTAGATCAAAAAACAACATATTTTAAAAAAATTCAGTATAGCTTAAAAATTTTCCAAACATTTAAAAAAAAATCACACAGAGAATAAGAAGCACCCATTTCCAATCTGTGTTTGTGCAGAGCCCTGTCTGCATTTCCTAACGATGCTCTTAAGATTCTTTACGTAGATGAAAAGCAGGGGTTACAGAGGAAGGCAGCCATGAATTGTCCAGGGAGGTCCACGAGCCCGGGTGATGCAAGTTACAGCCTGCACCCCCCTCACCTCCCACAGGGCTGCCTCACCTCCACGCGGCGGCTCCTCTGACTTACCAGGGGGTTCTGTCTCTGCAGGTTGAACAGTTCGTTCTGATACATCGCAGCAGCGAAGGGATACACAGCAGGCAGCTGGGCCTCCGGTCTCCTCAGTGCGAGCAGCGTATTCTCGGGGTCGCCCTCCCGAATGGCAGCATTGATGTGGTCCACTGCGGCCAGCCCTGGGGGTGGGGAGTCACATTCCGTCAGAACGTCCATTTTTCCCACCGTGTCCAGCTGTCCGAGGATTAGAACCTAAGGAGTCACTGTCCATGAGCTCTGAAAAACTGCACTTGGAGGGCAGGCAAAAGCTTGGAAATGGTAGCTGAGTATTTGGAAGTCAGTCCAATCCTCGGAGGTCATCCCCAAAAGACGCCCCCCATTGATGGAGCTGGAGTTAAGAGATCATTCCTGCCGAGCATGACTTCCTTACAAAACCTTCCTTTCAGGACTAGCTCCAGTCGCACCTCTTCCATGGAGCCCTCACGTGGATCTAGTCCCTGAGGGTTTTACACCTGGGGAATCCACACAGTATCTGGAGCTGGGCCACACAGATCCTGCAGGCATTGCTCTCCAGTGCTGCCTGTGTGTTCGTACTGTCTCCCCGGGGAGACTGAAGCTATGTGAAGCCTTGCCCTCCTGCTGCATTCTCCCTCTGAATCAGAACCGTGGAAAACTCACGGCGGGCACTCGGACACACTGCTGCTTGAGACTGATGGCATTAGTTCTCAGAACATTCTCCTCTCCCTCAACTCCATGTTCTATGAATAGTGATTTGTTTTTTTAAATCCCCACCCGATGACATGCTTAGAGGAAGGGAGGGGGGAGAGAGAGAGAGGAACATTGATGTGAGAAACATAGATCAGTTGCCTTCCATACGTGTCCCAATTAGGAATCAAACCTGAAACCCAGGTATGTGCCCTGACCGGGAGCTGAACCAGCAACCTTTCAGTGCACAGGATGCACTGAACTAGCTGAGCCACTCCAGCTGAGCTGAATTGTGATTCTAAGAAAAAATAATTCATGTATGTTTTTAAAAATATTACAACCAAAATCCGTATTATTGAATAAGTCAGTGCTAGTATCAGTTAACCTAAAAAACAACAAGAAAACAAAAAAATAACCTGATCACAGAAATGCCCTGGTTGACATGATCTGACCGAACTGTAAGCTCTGTGATGTCTCTACCAGATGAAATGTTCAGATTACAAGACCTGAGTTTTAGTGACCAAACTGAGGGAGCTTAAAACAGTAGATTCAGCATTACTTTCAGAAAACAGAAACAGAACTGCTGACCAAATGGAAGAATGGGGGATGACCTCTGCCCCCAGGCAACAGCAAACCAGACAGAACCAGCAGGAGTATGCCCCGTAATGAAGGCTTCAGGGTAGTAGAAATAACACAGAACCACAGATTTCTAGACCCACAGATTTCAAGGCTTAGTCTGTCTCCCTAATACACAACTATATTGCAGCTGAGATTATTCTAACCCTTTGTAACAGATGACAATTTATCTTTTCTAACTACATTTTTAAGGAGCTACCCCTCAATAACCTTTCTACTAAGAGACATCATTCAATAGCAGGAAATATACTTATAACTAATACAGTCTTTCATGCTGCACTCCCAGAAAACATATACTTATTCTAAAGGATCCTGAGAACCCAAGCACTTGTTTCTATTCTTAGAGTTAATATGACAAATGAGAAAATTCCAGAAAGGAAGGTCAGTGGCTAGTTGTGGAGTTTGCTGTTCCGCTCAAGTTATCTGAGGCCTTGCCACTGTGTGTCTGATTACTTTGGATGGGATCCTGCTTCACCTTTGAAAACTCTATTAGGTGCGTTTACACAACTGGAGGGTAAGATATTACCAAAAAATCACATCCCTAAAACACTTAATGCACCATATCCTCTAAAAAGAAAAGAAAATAAGCTTAACCACTCTTTCATACTGTGCATTTAACAAAATGTCCAGCCCTGACCTTAACAGAATAGGTCACGTAATGAATGCACGTGCCAAACCCCAAAGTTCAGTGAGTGTAGTTCAAACAAAGCTGAAGGCTCCGGAGACAGAGCTGGTGACATAACCATCGAAGCTGTAACTTACGCCCTCACTATGGCTGCTATGAATGTGGACACATTAGCATTTAATATAATCACCTACATTTTTGAGAAAAAGTTTGTCAAGTAGCTATACGTACATATTTTAAAGCATACAATTGTCTCATTGTCATGTCGCTGACTAAAACATGCTTCTGAGGGTTTTTTCAACACTACTTTTAGTTCTACTGGACTATAAATTTTCAGATAGGGAGAGATCAAAAACTTCAGAGTAATCATGGTTTACACCTTTAAAACCATTAAACATTGCAACGTCCTTCATAATTTTAGCCAGTTATGCATCAGTACAAATCATCTCATGCTTTCTACTTAATAATGGGGAAAAAAATAAGTGGAGTTAATTTGGTATTAAATTTGTCATGGAGTAAAGTATTAAAACATTTACATAAGCATTTTATTTAACATGAAAAAGAAATCTGTTTCAGTGGATATAAACGTTTCAAAATAAAGGATGGCAAACAGTTATGGAACTATTTCCTTACTAAGCTTATGGACGTCAGATGTTTTACTGGCAATATTAATTTTTTCCTGCAATTCATTTCTGTCAAGCACAATGCAATTCTCAGCTTTTATACAGAGCAGAAAGAGAAACTTGAAACTGTGCTTCCTGTATCACCACCACGTTCAAAATTAATAAGAATAAAATAATAGAGTTACGCATCCCAAAAGGTCGTGTTCCCATAAAAAAAGTTACCCTAGAGCTTTCAGCAGTGTGTGTGGGAGGTAATTTCTCAAACCCACTCAGCTGTTAACACCTAGATATTTACATTTGTGTTCTCTGGGCCTCCTTAATTACTGTTTGAAGCTTTTTGGATATGTCTCTACCAGCAACTTAGGAGCAAACTTCTGGGTTACCCTACAGGTCTGCACTGTGTTGAAGATGTTAAGAGTGATAAAGAACATTCAAAGTTCATAGAGGACATTAAATCGAGGAAAAGGTTTAGGACTGTTGGAATTAGTGGACACTCCAAATTTAAATTTGGCAGATGGTTCACATGATTTATTAAATGGGCTAAATGGTTTTTCATGTATTCGTTTTTGAAATATATATCGGTTATTTAGGTTGACCTACGGGAAATAAATGTCAAATAGAATTCCTTACTGCTTCGAGTAAGAATACATTTTATTAGAAAATGGAAAAGACTAATAAGGAGATTAATGTATCTCAACTTGCATGTGCTTATTTTAATTACCTAGGTTTTCTGTTCTTTATAGTGATACAACTGAACTGGGTACCAAGAACTGAACTGTACAACTCCAGAGTCTCAGGGACGTGGATTTAAACCTGTCACTGTGCAATTCCATTGGCCTGTCAAATTCATTCACTTGCACAAAAGCTACCTAAGCTGTAAGAAAATAATTTTTATAAACTGTACACTAATAATTGGGAAGTAAGTTGTCAGCAATACCTTTTACAGTTCCAATCAAATGCCATCACATAATCATGGGCAAGGAATGACAGTCTTTAAGTCATAATATTTTATTAAATAACCATCAATATTATCCCAATAAAGATAGGTTTAAAATATGACTGACATACACTTTACCTACGATGAGACAGGAAGGTACTATCAAACTAGCTTCAAGACACCTTGAGCTACTCTGCATGGACTGGGTACAGGATCACCAAAAAATGCTCCATAGGAAACTGCCAGATGATACACCATAACTAAGAGCAACATTGACATTCGGGGATTTTTTGTCACGTGAGGCAGTTTTACAAGGGTACAAATTGAGAGTTTTTCTGAGACTCTGAAAAGGAAAATTCGTATCTTCCAGAAGCACCCATTTCCTTCACGGAATCCATTACTTACTGTTGACTTTGTTGATATTGCCTTGGATTTCTGCTTGTGTCAGCAGTTCTTCGTATGCATCTCTTTCTTCTTCTGAAATACAGTTATTCTGCAAAACAAAGTCTTCACTGATTCCTGAGATTAAACGTTTCCAAAGCTAGATATTCAAAAGCAAAAATGCAGGAGTGATAAAAGCCATTCACTGACATCCATCTGAATGCCACAGAAGCACTTAAGAGCGCCTGCTTTGTGCAGGGCACTAGGTTAGATATGCCCAGCAAGGGTTGCCAGGATGAACAACAGGCCCTGTGAGTTTCTGAAAAGGCCTAACTTTCTAATGTAAGCATTACATTGGACCCCTTGATATTGCCATTTTTTGAATATCAAAACCAGTTAAATACTGGCAATTTCATTTTATTCAGTCTAATAAAACTAAGAACACAAATAATGAATATACATAGTACAAGAGAATAAATTCTATAGGAGAAGCACACACTCAGTTGGAAAGAAAAATTTAAAGAGATAACAACTGAGGAGGTTCTGGAGGAAGAGAGTTATGTTAAAGGCAGAGCAGGATCTGGTCACGAAAGTGGGAAAGCTTGGCATGTCGGGCTACATACAGCATAGGGGGGGTGTCCAGGGCCAGCCAAAAAGATGGGGAGGCGGAGTGGGTATACTGCAGGCCTTTTAAGGACAAGAAAAGGACCTGCACGCAACCCAGTAGGCAGCAGGGAGTCAGGGGAACTTTCAGGTCTGAAGCTAAAGATTAATTTTTCAACCTCTAGCTCTGAGAAGGGTTGGTTGGGGAATGACAAGCAGCATGGAGACCCACGAGGAAGGTGCTGCAGGAGTCCTGAGGCCAGGTCAGGGGGCCCAGCACTGAGGCAAGAGCGAGGAGACTGGAGGACCGTGGGTGGATATAAGCCTGGCAAGCAAAAGCAACAGGATACAGCGATGGACAGGGCACAGGGGAAGAGAAAAGAGTTCTGAAACAGTGTGGAAGTTATTCCAAAGGGGAGTCGGCAAGGGGTGCACGTGTGAGAAGGGGAGGGTAGAGATGGATGCCCTTGGGGTGTGGAGGATGGCAAAGCCTGCGGGGCAAGGCGAAGTTATCCGGGGGAGTATCAGGGGACCCGGGGATGAAGCTGAGAGCGATTTCAATGGTGGGCGAGCTTACTTGAGGAAGAACGGAGACAGGAGTGACTCAGGGTCAATGTCGAGCCCCACATTTAGAGGGAGGAGGAAGACGAGACATGAACTGATGAAGAGAACCAGGCGGCATGGAAGCACAGGCGGAGCAGCTGGTCTCAAGGCAGGGAGGCAGGGAGGCAGGGAGGCAGGGAGGCAGGGAGGCAGGGAGGCAGGGTGGCAGGGAGGCAGGGTGGCAGGGTGGCAGGGAGGCAGGGTGGCAGGGTGGCAGGGAGGCAGGGTGGCAGGGTGGCAGGGAGGCAGGGTGGCAGGGTGGCAGGGAGGCAGGGTGGCAGGGTGGCAGGGAGGCAGGGTGGCAGGGTGGCAGGGAGGCAGGGTGGCAGGGTGGCAGGGAGGCAGGGTGGCAGGGTGGCAGGGAGGCAGGGTGGCAGGGTGGCAGGGAGGCAGGGTGGCAGGGTGGCAGGGAGGCAGGGTGGCAGGGTGGCAGGGAGGCAGGGTGGCAGGGTGGCAGGGAGGCAGGGTGGCAGGGTGGCAGGGAGGCAGGGTGGCAGGGTGGCAGGGAGGCAGGGTGGCAGGGTGGCAGGGAGGCAGGGTGGCAGGGTGGCAGGGAGGCAGGGTGGCAGGGTGGCAGGGAGGCAGGGTGGCAGGGTGGCAGGGAGGCAGGGTGGCAGGGTGGCAGGGAGGCAGGGTGGCAGGGTGGCAGGGAGGCAGGGTGGCAGGGTGGCAGGGAGGCAGGGTGGCAGGGTGGCAGGGAGGCAGGGTGGCAGGGTGGCAGGGAGGCAGGGTGGCAGGGTGGCAGGGAGGCAGGGTGGCAGGGTGGCAGGGAGGCAGGGTGGAGCAAGCCAGCGGAGGCGTGGAAGCCGCCAGTGGAGAGCGGGCTGGAAGACGCAGTGGTCATGTCTGGTATTGGAGCTGAAGCTGGCGTGGCAAGAGCTAAAGGAGAGGAGACGGCGAGGAAGTGGAAGTGCACAGTGGGGTCGGGCTGCCTTGCTCGGGAGAAGACCCCCTCCTCGGACAGGCAGGTGAACATCGGGAAAAAGCGAGGAGAGTGCATTCAAAACAGTCCTCCCTAAACTTTGCACTGAACTATTCACCTCTACTAATAACTCTAAAGGTAACTCAGCCACTACGGGGTGTGCTGGTGGTGCCTGAGGAAAGATCTTTAGCTGCTACTTTTACACTTTTGAGAAAGAAGTAAGTTTACGGAATGACCTTTAAAACCTTGCAACTTACAATTTTCAATATCAAAGGAAACCTAATTTCCTTCCCTAATGCAAGGGCTTCTTTTACCCTTGCAGTTCACCCGAACCAGCTGCCTGTGGCTATAGAGGCCACAGCCAGTTGAATTAACAATATCACTCTCTTTTCAAACTAGCTTCTCATGACCACATTTATTACAGGGAATCTAATGAAATACCTTCAGTTTTGCATTTTCCTCTTTTCCCTTTTTGGCTTCCCAGAGTTCCTTCTGATATTCCTGTGCAAGCTTCTCGTCCACTAAAGTTAAAACAGCATTTGGGTTTCTTAGTGTTAGAATGGTCTGCTCCGCCGCTCCCTTTTCAATGGCTTCGTTAATGGCTATAACAGCGGCATGCACTGCGGGGAGAAAGATTCTGATCAGCGAGCGGTAACCTGGGCAGTTGCACGGACACTGCATACGCTTTAGTAGGTTTACTTTCTCTTTAGCTCCCAGTAAGCACACCCAAATGGGGCCTCGGCGCACCCCAGAGCACCCCTCTGACAACCTCTCCAAGGGCGCATCTATCTCGGGTCCTGACTCGGCATCTGTTCCACGATCGGTTTCATTTATTCAGCCTGCACCGAATGACTACAATGAACCAAGCGCTAGGTCAACCACCTGGGGATTGGAAGGGTAACAGGGACACTTTTAAAGGAGCAGGCTGATTCCAAGAGATGCCTGCAGTTTAACCTGCCGCGCTAAAAGACAATGTAGCCAGGGGCCCTGCCACTAAAATCTAAGACCAGGCGGTAGGGATGTATTTGGAAGAATGGGGATCTCTCTGGAACCTCTTCATTCACACTGTGAAAGTGGCTGTTTCAAGTCCCAAATTGATTACTTGGTTATATTCTGATATGCCCAATTTAGCATCCACAATACGTATCATAAAAGCCTTCAGAGGGGTTTAAAGTATCTTCTAAATATTCTGTTTCTTGTAACCAAAATCAATAAATAAAGTGCAGGTCAGTCTGATATCAACCGCAAGTTCGGATTTTAAAGTCTTACATGCAGCTTCATCCACGGACAGTTCATTGGCCAGGATGCCCCCGATTTTGCTGAAAGATGGCATCTGTATCCCATATTTCTCCAGTTCCTTTCTCATATTACTGATTTCCTCCTCTGAAAAAGAACAGAGACAAACTAGAGGGGGCCACAGCGACGGAGGCAGGGACGGCACAGTCACATCAAGACGCGTTTTCATCCGAGAGTCCCCTTCCCAGACGTGCGGGGCTTATTTTTCTCATTAAAGAAATAAAAAGTGCCTTCCATTACTTAAAAAAAGAAAGAAATGTCTTTATCAAGAAGGTGGGGCCATTTCTAAACAAGAACCTTAGGAAGAAGCCAGCCTCAGACTCTCATTTCCCAAATGTGGGGAAAGGAAATCTGGTTGAGAACAAAATGTTTCCTCCTCTGCCCAGGAGAGAAGACAAAGGAAACCCATCTGCTTAGTAATTACATTGTAAAAATTATCAAGAGAAGTACCTGTGAAGTCCACTTTGCCCAACAAATCCTGGATCTGGGGTGCTATTCCTAGTTTGAATAGATATAAACTGAAAGAGAAAACATAAAATTATCAGACACTTTATTATTATAAATCTTAGAGTTAGAAATTGCTTAAATGTTAAGGGCTTTTTTAGTTGAGAAGACCTAAGAGATTATCCCATCTAATCCATTCATTTTATAGATGAGGAAATTGAGTCCGAAGACCTCCCAGTTCCTGGTAGGACCGGGACTAGAACCCCAGTTTACATCCCGAAGACTGGTCTTCCGTAGTTCATGGCACTTGCGTAGGGTCAACTAACTATCATCCACATGTAGAGAGAGTAAGAAACACAACTAATAAGAAACAGCAGGTAATAAATGCAATAAACATTTCCTTGGATATTTCCTTACATGATTCTTATTTTGTTGAAAGTACAACTCAAATTATTACATTTTCCTTTTCAATATTCCTCCAAATACTATACACTCCTTGAGGAAATATTTGTTTTACATTTTCTGAACCAATATATAGAGTGGCAAGACTATTGATAGTTGGGGTAAGATAAACCAGGATGTGAGCACATTACTAAGTTAAAGATGGAGAGTAAATTATAAATATTTCTTCAAAAATCCCTGAGGAAGTAATGATGGCATCAACAACCTACCCATACCTGACACAAGGACCTGAGGGCTGGCATTGGAATTCTACCAATGATGAAAATATATGGTCATGTGGCTTTTCCCACTTAATCATTGAGCCATAGTTCCTGATTCATATTTATTTTAACCTTCCCAGTCCCCAAGATTAATTCTACAGATCAACTAACAAATTGTGTTCACTTTATTATCAATTTTGATAGGTCTGTAATTTATGAGATTTTAATTACAAGTTAGAAATCACACAACAACATATATGGGAAAATGAACTGAGAATGATTTTGATGCTTAACTATTTCAGGATTATCACTTCCCATGTAGACGTGAGATGGATCTGAGTCGTTTATAAACTACATAAAATGTCATTAAAGGAGTTCAAGATCGAGCCTTCTTTAGTGGTATTAAAACAAAGTCTTAAATGTCTGACTAATCAATTAAATAGCACTCACTGAAATTAACTGTGTTTGATCATTTCTGTGAAAAAACCCCCACAATCATTTAGAAAAGTAAAATATGGTCAAAGTTAAAAATTAGTAATGAATGATTAAAAAATTTACATTGAAAATCACCACCCAGAGTTAAACACTAAATATTTTGATATAAGTCCTTTTAATGTTGTTCCCGGAAATATCTATTCCACAAACTCACATAATATTCTGTAATATGAACTTATTGTACTTTACTTAGCCAGTTGCTGAGCATTCAGATGGTTACTAATTATCTTATTTGTTCCTATAAATCCCTAAAACCAAAACTGTGAGATTGAAAGGTATACACACAATCAAACCTTTCAATATTTAGTCAGATTGATTCTTAAAAAGAGATTATACTCATTTAATTATTGTGACTAAAGGGTTAACCAAACCCCTCCCCCTTCTGTGAGAGAATCGACCTGGAGTTAACTTTCTAGCTCGGTTCCCCTAGGTATGCTGACAATCCCATTACTAAGCATCACTGCTTAGGAGAAAAATAATCTGACTGATAAACTGCATCTTGACTCAAAGGAATTATAAATACCTAATAGGCATCAGTTTTGGAAAGGGAACAATATACCTGCGCTCAATGATTTTTGACACAACTGTTTTCACATTTTCTCCTTTGTTTATCCAGTCATTCATTTAATTACTAGTTATGGAACATCTACTATATAAAACAAATGTTTCCCTCTACCATGCTCTCCCTAAAATAAAGGTATTTAGGCTCCCATGACATACATTTGTTAGTAAAATGAACGCAAACAATGTACTAAACAAAAATGTGAATTTTATCCTGTGGTACTAAAGGTATTAGGACTATTTCCAATTATACTTTTTAATTCTCCACTGTACACTGTAATACTAGTATAAATCTCACCATCAGCAAATATTCTGGTTTAATTAAAAGTTACCACTAGGTGGTGCTGAGAAGTTACCACTTTCAGATGAAAGAATCTTTGCTTTTAAATTTATTTTAAATCAGATTTTCTTAAGCTGTTATGGATCAGGTAGTAATCTCATTTGCATGTACATACTTTCACCAAAAAAATTTTTTTTTAAATGTTAATGTATATATTTTATTTGGCTTCAGTTTTCAACATTGTCTCTAATGTTGCGGTTTAAACTATTCTTTAAAAAGATTGCTTTTCACAGTGTGGGAGTTTTATACTAACTCTCTGTGTGGGAGGTGCTTTCAAGCAGATTACTCAAAGGGGCATAAGTTTACTAGGAAACTTGCACTTATCCACTGTTCCCAGGCTGAAAAGAATCAGCAACAGCAGCTGGCTCCTTCCCAAGCATTCACATTCAAATGAGCCATTCATTACCTGAAGCATATAGGAAATCCAGAGTCTTAATCTTTTTTTAAAAAAAGCCCATCCAATAGAAAAAACACCAACTTCTTATAGCTCTTCAACACTGAACTTATTAAACACCTTTAGTGCCTAACAGCCAACACAAAAGGTTGAGAACATTCCAAAGAAAGCTGCGGAATTAATGTCAGCATAGCTCCCCACATATAAGAAAACACTTGGTGTGAAAGAGCGATCCTTCTAGCACAGGACAAGGTACAGTGCGCTCCTGTTACTGAGGGAGGCCAGAAACAGAGGGCGGTCCCAAGGCAGCTAGAGCTTCACAGGCCCATGTGCTCCCACTGGTAGAAATAACAACAGTTTAAGTCCAGGAAGCAGGAAACTTTTTAAAAAGTACTATTAAGGTTTTTTCAAGTACTTTCAATATATACATTAAAAGGTTTATAGTAATGAAATGCAAACTTAAAAGGCAAGAGCTGAATTTCTTTCAGCTTTTCTGGATCACATCATGTGCAGTTCATTTTATGCTGTAACATGGGAGATGAATGTTTGTAAATGAAAGCCTCATGGCTGACTCGAAAGAGCACAGGACAGGAATCAGAAGTCCTGGATCCCAACCCCCAAACAGCAATATCTAGATGTGTGACTCTCAGCAGATCACAGAACTCAAGCTTTCAGTCCCTCATTTAAGAAATGAAGGATCTGGACTGAAATAACCTCCCAAAGTCCTCCCAATTCTGAATTCCATGATTCTTCATGTTAACATATCCTAAATGTAACAGCTTAGAGGCCTTGCTGAAGTTCCAGTCTGATGCCACCGTTCTTTTTGTTTTCGTAATTGCAGGGAAATAGTTGGCTCCCTTCTGAGGCCAATGACTGGCTGAATCAGCAATAGCACAGGTTCTGGTGTCAGCCTGGTTCGCAGGCTCCACTCAGCTATTTACTAGCTGTGTGACCTTGGCTAGCCTCTCTGTGCTTCAGCTGTCTTGGTTATAAAATGGGACTAATAACAGTATGTACCTCATAGGTATGTTAGAAGGATTAAATGAGATTACACCTGTAGAGTACTTTGAACACTGCCAGGCATATAATTAAAAGCTCAGTAAGCGTTAGCCTTTGTTTTTATTATTACTATCATCCTGTTAAATAACTGTGTCCAGAATTCCTATACTCTTAATAACCCACCACAGTGGTTTCCCCACTTTCAACACTAAGACCCTCTGACTATTTTCCCCTCACTAACTCCGTGTTTGAAATGGCTTCATCTACTGAACCAAATTATTTTCCCATCGTAGTCACATACATCACTGCCAGTGTCATGTCCAACTCCAGGGTTCTCTACCCAGTTTTCAGTCAGAACTCAAAGGAATCCTGAGGCCGTCTGATCATCAGTTAAACTAACCGTAAAGTTAAAGATACAAATGCAGGGGCTTCCAGTTAGAGTTAATGGTGTACGTACCGTGCTGGGTAGAGACACAGTGCACAGCCTCAGAGCCTGGGATTCAGGAGGACAGACAGCCAGCCACAGCACTAACCCGGCCCAGAATGAGAAGAGGAGATGGTTCCAAGTGTGAAGAGAAGTATGAACCAGGGCTGACCTGGAAGATTCGGAAGGTGCAACTGCCCTGCTCACCTTATCCCAAGTGCTGCCATCTCCGGGTGTCCCTCCTGAGAGCACAGGGTTACAGCCTGGCCCTTGGGTTAAGGAACTATCTCTAGGAAACTTACTTATAAATGCAGATATGTTCTCCGTCAGGGATGCAATCAAAAGGCAACCAGCAGGGTCTTAACAGGAAAAGGGCCCTAAGGGAAGGGGGTTTAAGGCAGGGAAGTTATACAGTAATGCCCCAGGAAGCAGTTGGGAGGCAGCCTGGCGACCAAGGCAGCACCTGACCTTGCAGGAGAGCGGCAGAGGGGCTTTCTTCACAGAGCAGGCAGGGTATTCAGAACAGCTGCCAGCCGGAGTGGGTGTGCCACAGCCACTGTCAGATATGCAAGTCCCCAATGTGCTATTTTGGCGTCGCGACTGCAATTGAAAATGACCGCTGGGACAGCAGCTCCCAAGTCTGCGGCAGGAGCAGTACCCTTACCCAGAGGGGAGGCACACTTATCTTCAGTTTGCTGTTGTCAGTAAAGTAGGGTCTTAACGGTCAGATAAACTTAATGCAGTAAGAAGAGCAGAATCCAGAGCCCTCACCTATTTAAACCAGAAAAATCCTTATGAAAACCTGTGGAGGGTGGCTGATTCTATGTCATAAAGCAGGAGCAATCAGGGTAGGACAGGAACAGCTTGTTGTGATCACAAAGCAAGGATATTGCAAGGAATGTCAGGGACAGTGCTCCAAGGACAAAGGGTGACCAAGCTGAGTCAGTCTGGCCCATCAGAAAAGGAGACGCGCATCTTGGTGAAGTCTGTAAGGCCAGCTCGAAAACAATACTCGAAAGCGAATGGTATACAGTACACAAAAAGGCAGTTGTAATATAGAGATAAATAAGGCATGCATGATTATCTGTACTGATTCCAACAAGCTGGAAAGTGTTATTAAAATATGGCTTTTTTCTGTGACTGTCTATGGAGCACAAGTACATACCTGTTTCTATACTGTATATACTACATGTATGCTACAAAAATGAATAGATACCCGGAACTCTGGGCAAGCCAAACACTCCTAGAAAAGCATGGACATGTCCCAAAATAAGGACTGAGGAGTACAGGGAGTGACAAAAATAGCCAGGTGGAAAGAGGGTGCGGCACTGATGGTCACACTCAATGGTCAAGCAGAGAAAGGATCCAAAAACGTGACCTGAGGTGATGATGAATCAGCCAAATGACTGAAAGTGCACTAGGCAGAGTCAATCCCTGATCTCCTTAGGGAGAAACCTCTAGAAAGCCCAGCTAATTTCAAGAAAATATTCAAAAGGCATACATAAGCTTTTAATAATATTAACAGATCAGGCCAATGCATCATCATGACAGGACAATGGGTTAGGTAACACTGGCCAAACAAGACATGGAAGTAAATCATTTCTGGGTGACAGGGAGCGGGGGTGGGGACCAGATTAGAAATAAGAACCTACCTGAAAGCCATATACTGAAAAGTGAAAAAAAGGTCTGATTGATTTCACAAGGAAAGTTCAGCCTGATGCCGGTAGCCAGGGTCTGACTCACCAGGGGAGAACCGAAACTGGCGCCTTGTTCTGACCCACAATGAACTGGTCAGAAAACAGATCTGTAACCTGGGCAAGTCTGTAGAGTATTCTATGTTTCTGGTGCCCATAAGATCATGTCAGCTCTGGGTGGGTATAAAAATATTATAGTACTAGGATGAGTCAAAATTAGTGTATAAATAATGAAATGAGTGAAAGCTGCAGAGTGGATCTTTTAGAATAGGTTTAAGAGTGGTGAGTCTGTAGTAACGTCTCTGGGCATTTCACCTGTACTTTCAGGTATCTGAAGTGTTCAACAAATCAGATCTGCTAAATTTAACTTTTCAAAAGAATTCAATTTTATACTTAGTGTTTCAACATTTAACAGTTGTTTAACATACTGAGAAATAAACAACATGCAAGAGTGCTCTTCCCCAGATATAAACAGCCTCCAGAGAGTTAAAAACCAATAGTATTAACTCCTTAGTAAAGCTCTCACTTCTTAAACTGACTCCTTTTCATTGCACAGATTTTAAAACACTCCAAATGGAGCCACAGAAGGAAAATATGCCAAATACACATTTTAGCCCATAGATACCCCGTCACAAATAGTGGTTTTCACTTGGTGTAGAAGCAATGGGTACTTTAGCTTTTCCTTCGATAGTCTTTCTAAATTTTCTAATATTTCCACAATGAGCATATTTTATTTTTTATTTTAAATAAGAAAAATAATAATAAGCATTTCTTTGACAAAAGAATGAGGCCACCCATCCCCAAGGTCTCTCTACATTAGGCCATGATTGAGGATTTCCTCTGGGGCTACTGTGCTAACACCAAGCAGAACTGACAAAGGGAGCTATGAGCGGTGGGAAAGGAGCCTGGGGTCAGAAGTAAAGTAAAAAGGTGGGGGGCAGGCAGATACAAACAGGAAGCAAGGGCAAGGACCCAGGGGTCCTGATGAGCAGTTAAACCCTGATCCAAAAGATAGAAAACAGAGACAAGTTTGCAGGGCCAAGTTTGCAGGCTGGGGCAGGAGGAAGGCAGTGCCTGGGGGCCCTTCCTGACTGGCTCCTAATCTATAATCAGAACCTCTGACCTGCCTAATTCCCTATCCGGTAATGACAGCACTCTATACCAGCAATGTTGCTATATCTGCAACCAGACTATAAAGGCTGAAGACAAAATTGTGCATTCCCAGCACCACTTCTAATTACGCAGAGAAGGCAAAACCACTGTACCTACTAAAGGGCTCTGCTGCCCAGCCTCCACATGTGTCTCGCCCAACAGAGCAGAATACCAGCCTCATCTGAGTAACTGACTGCATTCTCAACCAACCCAGGAAAGAGTCTTGATAGAAAAAACTTTACATACACTTGAGACTTCTGAGTTCCATATCAAGGAGCAGCCATACATTAAGTTTAAAGCAGAGAAAAGTAAAGGAGATTCTCCCAGGGAATGCTGTTTATTAAGTAAGGACTGTTTTAAAAGATGGTACTGAAGGTCAGGTCTGGTGAATGACAGACTCAATAGGCATCTGCCCCAGGGTAAGTAACAGTAACAGAGACTCCATGACCAGAAACTGAATAACTGAGAAAACCCATCCTAGAAAATACCACACCAACACTGGCATACCACTGGCAATAACAGGCAAGAAGTTGCTCTTTTGCTTTTGTTTACCACACTGTTCATGCCATTGTTAACACAACAGCAAACACACTGCCACGGCAAACACACTGCAGCCCTCAGTGCTGCTCTGGGTGGCTTCTGGAGAACCCTGACATCACCAGAAAGGAACTTAGCACGCCACTGCTTTACAAGCTGCTTAACAGTAATGCCCCAGGTGTCCACTTCAGGACATCAATTTAAGCTGATAGCAGACACCCCATGAGCATGCTACAGGTATGGACATTAGCACTATGATGCATGGATATGACAATGACCTTAACTAATGGTGGCTGGCTAGGCAGGTCACAAAAACAGTACTAAGCACAGTGATAAGTGATCATTCTAAGTGCTGACAAATATTTGACAAAAAATGTTGGACAACACATTTGAAAATACTCCTCAAAATCAGCGCTTTTGCACAAAAAGATTTTAGAAAACTTGCTGGCATAATGACTGATACACTGGCCACATACTTGGAGGCAGGCATAGAAGTGTTTTTCCCCCAGTTCTAAATTATTAGAAAAAGAAATCATATAAAAGGCACCTACATTTGGTCGGTATTTCTAGCAACTGTCATCTCCAAAGAAATCTCATAAGTTCTGATCGGGGAAAAGTCAAATTATGTGATATAATCAAAATTCTTCTCTAGTAGGCCAGAATTGCAATGAATTATTATAGAAACCTTTTCCTGTGGAGAGGAAGAGAGCCAGGAAGAAGTTAATATAAACCTCTAGGCAGAAGATTCTGCCAGGAAAATGACTTCTAGTGATATAAACACAAGGCAGATGTTGTAAAAGAAATTTAAAACTTAATTAGACATGAAGCCTTCCAGCCATTACCTGCGTACACACAAGACAACAGCCACAAACTGGACTTTTAAAATTATCCTTGCTACCATCTAAAAATCACATTTCAGAGGGAAGGTGGGGGTGGGGAGTGGGAGATTAATCAAAGAACTTAGATGCATATATGCATGGCCTAAGGGTACAGGCAATAGTGTGGATAAGGCCTGGGGAGGGATACCGGTGGAGGGGCTCAATGGAGGGAAAAAGAGGGACATCTGTAATACTTTCAACAATAAAGATAAATTAAAAAAATAAAATAAAAATCACATTTCTTCCAGGCCATTAAGATTAAAAGTAATCTGTGAACTAACAGAATTTCAGTATTTCCAATAACTTATCAAACAATTGCTTTTAAACAATGAATGTATCCTGCTTTGACTAATTTAAAGCAACTTCTGTCTTCTTTACCCTTAGGATCTACTGAACAAAGAAAACAAAAAATATACTGAATTTCATTAATCTGTGAAAAGAATTAAACCAAACTGATCATTTTAAGAGTATCAGAACCAAAAATATGACCATTAAAGCTGCTGCTCATCTGATATATTTCTGTGTCAACTTCATCATATCTCAAGAATACTGTAGCACTCTCTAGAAGTTTCAACTTAAAATTTCTCCTTATTATATTTATAGGTCTTTCACTCATTTTCTGGTTTTCTATTTTGATTTAGATTTAAAAAATAAAAATAAATATTTTTCAAGTTCGAGGGTTGTTTTTACATGACAATTATTTTAATTTTGTACCAGCAAATTCAAAATAATTCAATCAAATAAAAAGCTCTTGAGTTATTAAAATAATTTAGGATCTCTTTTAAAATTAAAACTGTAGTTTTATTTAAATTTACTTTCTAGACTTTTAGTTGTATTTTTCCCCACCTCAGTGCGTGAATGCAATAGATCATTCTTGGTATGTTTTTCCGGTCATAGACATCTGTTGTTTCTGGATAAAATATCTGGAAAATAAAAGAAACAATGTGTTTATTATATTTTGCTTTTCACAAAATTATTTTAGGTCTCCCCAATGATCGTACTTTGGTTGTCCTTGCTGTTCTGTATTTATTTAAAGGTAGAGGAATCTGTTACTGCTTTATCTTGCTCTAGGGGAGGACTGTGACTGCATCTGGACCCCTGCTTGACAGCGCGCCACCTAGTGGTTCACGAGAGTGTGTATGTGGGGGGGTGCGGGGCGGGTGGAAAGGGGAGGGGGTGCAGTTCCCAGCCTGCCATTCCAAGGAGGCTGTGTCCACTGGTTAGGTAGGTGGCAGTTTCCTCTCACCAGGCTTGAGCCTGTGCAGACTCTGCTTTCTGTAACAGTCACTCCTGTGACTGCCCAGAGGTCCGCTGGCTTGAGAGGGATGTTTTTCTTCAGCATTTCATAACACTGCTAAGAACTTGGCTACCCAGTTCTGTAAACATGCAAGTACACACATACACATGGATATTTTTTTCTGATTAAAGTAATACATTGCACTAAACATAATCTGGAAAATAGGTATGAAGGAAAAATACCTATAATCCCACCTCCAGATTGTCACTATTGTCACAATATTTGGGGATATTTTCCTCCAGTCTTTTCCTGTATATATCTGGTTTTTTTATGTTGTGCATGTGTATGTTTGAAAATAAAATTGTACATATTGTAAACCTGTTTAAATCACTGAACAGAACACGACCCCTTTGTTATTCTATGAGAATATTAATTTTTAAAAATTATTGATTGATTGATTGATTTTCAGAGAGAGGAAGGGAGAGGGAGACAGAGATAGAAACATCAATGATGAGAGAGAGACATTGACTGGCTGCCTCCTGCACGCCCCCTACCGGGGATCGAGCCCGCAACCCAGGCATGTGCCCTGACCGAGAATCCAACCTTGATCTCCTGGATCACAGGTCGATGCTCAACCACTGAGTCACTCCAGCCAGGCAAGAACATTATTTCTAATGGATGCATGGTTCTTTCATATTTTTTAACCATAATTTAACAAGTTCCCATGGTTGAACATTTTTTGCCCCTAATTTCCCCCACTATTATAAGTCACTGCAATGAACATCCCTGCATTTTCTGAACACCTGATTACCTCTTTGGAATAAACAACTAAATATAAAGCTACCAGATTGAAAGATTGGAACATAAAGGCTTTTAAAACCTATTTACACTATTCTTAAGTTTAAAATTAAAAGCCTAATAAGAAACGTTTCAGAATGGGGCACCAAACTTCCCTGTTCCTATGCACCAAAAAATGAAAAATTAGGCTCGAAGCTTCTAAGATTAAGATAAGCATATTGGTATTACCTGCTTTCAGTAAACATTTTATAGTTTGACATAAAAATTAAATCATGTACCATAAGGTGGTATTTGATACTCAAGTGAAATTTTCTGTTGGACACTGAAAAAAGCTGAGAAAAGAAAAAAGTGA